CTAAAAAATGTCTCCTTAGAGCTGCCCTCGCTCAGCCCCTCACGGATGCCCTGCCCAGCTCTATGTCATAACCTGGCAGGGCTGGCTGGCATCTGGCTTTCTGGTCCAGACAAGATAGAAAAGCTAAACAGCTCTATTTCTTCACCCCTACAATTTCAGGAAAGGGAAGCTGCACTCCATGACCACTCTTCAGCCTTTGATGTATTTCAATGTGCCCTGTAGCCTTGCAATTTTTTTCCCCACATCATTATAGGATAATACTAAGTGTGTGTTAACATAAGAGCTGCCAAAGATGTTTGAAAGGCTTGTTTGTCCCTCTGCAAAGGGAAATCCTCCCCCGCCCTGCCATATGCACTTACCGCTCCAGAGATTCATTCTTCTTCGAGCTGGCCAGAAGTGCAGTTGCCTTTCTGGCGTTCTTTTTTGTTCATGCTATTTCTGACATTCTGCTGAAAAGGGAATAGGAAAATTGGCAAAACACATGGAAAGGAGTTGCCTCATGTGACAATAACATGAGACAAGGCAGGACAAGAGAGGGGTTTAATTTGCCTGGTTTAATATTTTTAACAGATGTTGACCTTAAAAGAAGGGGTATTATTCATTTGCCTGTATCAGTGCCTTTTGATAATGGGTTAAGGGGAGAGTTTTGGCGTTGCTTTTATACTGATGTGCCCTCTAGTCAGATTTAATATGCATACAGATAAAGCTCACCAAACTCCTTTAGAAGAAAGCTTTTAAAAAAATTTCTCCAAATTATCCCTAACTAAATGAGTATATACACTCATTTATGTAGTTTCCCAAAGACTCGGCTTTCCATCTTGCTTTTTAGAAAATGGCTTTGAATGTTTTCCCCGTCTTATCTTTAAAGTGAAGCCCTTCACCTTTACTGAGATGAGCAGCACTGTCAATAGGAGCGCTTGGCCATGCTCCTGCTCCATGCAGTGGCATTCAAGCAGAGGGTTAAAGCAGCCCAGAGATGGGTTTGGCCCTTAGAAATTTTGCTGTAACTAATCATTTGAGAATATTTACGTGACCTCTTTGATACAGATATGGAAATCTAAGGAATATCTGTCTGAAATCTATCTATATCAATAGGCTAACGCACACCTCCGATAGATGCCGAGTTTGTACTCTGGGGGATGCTTCGCATAATCCCAGCTTGGATATTGCTGGCAAAACTAAGCACCTGCTATTTTACTTTCTGAGAGGAAAAGCCTCTGTATAGATGCACATTTTAGGAAGACATGGTATTCTTGTCATGCGAAGTTTTTAAGGTTATTGCAAAATGCAGAACCCAGGACACATTTCAACACACTCAGGAGATCTGAGCCAGCTCGCGCCTTGCTGGGAGCCCTGGTGCAAACCGCAGAGCAGAAACTGCCTGCAGCTCTCCCTACTTCCTAGGAACGGCCACACATGGCCAACTATGTAAGGGATGAAATCGTGAATTGGCCTTTTCTTGCCAAGTTTTTAGCCCGTCCTTCCTCTTACAGCTGCCAAATCCAAGAATTCCAGGAAAATCGCAACACACGTTGGTCTGAGTCAACAGAAGTCTCGGCAGCCGTGGGAAGTCAGGAAGGCGTGCCGCTGGCCCCACCGTCCCAGCCTGAGGGAGCTGTTGTGGTGCTCGGGGCTGAGCTCTCTTTCATTCTCTTGAACTAGAAAAACTCTTTTTCCTCTGTGTGGCTTTTAATTCTTTTGAATGAAAACCCCTCTCTTTTTTCTATGTGGCTGTTAGAAGGACACTAACTGTTCTCGCAAGCAGTTCCATGGTCACGGGTTTGAACATGCTCAGTGGCTGCAAAAGAATTCAAAGGGAAAGGAAGCACAAGCGCCAACTAGATTAGAAAAGACTTCCATATTTTTACAATACAATTGGAAGGACGAGGGGCCTCCACGCTTCACAGCTGAAGGGTAAGTTGCTCAGCTGCAAAATGTTCCCTCTTCCACTAACAGAAAGCTCTTGGCCCGTTGTGCTCTCGTGAAATACATTTCTAGGGGAATGTTATTGCATGTAATGGTGCTGGACTCAGAGCTGCTGGCTTCTCCTTGCTCCGCTGCTCCTGGAGAGTAATAGGCACTGCAAACTTTGCGGATGCTTAAAAATCCTCCAAGCCTTTTGTGTTGCTTATTTTTCTTCCCAAGATTATTTTTAATCCCCATCGGTGTTGCAATCCAGCTCACAGTGCAGCCCTGCAGTGGTAATTAGGAGGCAGAAAGGATTAATGGCTGCAGGAAGAGGTGGCAGAAGCAACCGTGGGCACAGAGAAATGCCTCTAGCGATGACTCAGTGGGAGGCGCAAGGAATTTGGACCGTGCCAGGTCCAGCCGCCCTGTGATGGAGGGCCACGATCACATGGTGTAACCTGGAGAGCAGAGTACACGCCGGGGAGTGGGAGAGGGGACAGCGTTTCGTTAGCTCCTGCTCAGCAAATCCATCCCGAGGTGAGCCTGGGACCGCAGAACTTGTCTTTGCTTAGGAGGAAATTCGGCCGTGTCAGCCTCGGAGGGTGAGGTTTTGCAATATGCTTATTCCATGTCATTGCAGGCAGATGAAGGCAGAGGTGACGCCCTGTCCCCGTCTCCCCACCCCGGCTGCCCCTCTCCTCCTGCGGAGCCCAGGGATGCGGTGGCCGTGCAGCCAGCTGGGCTCGCCGAGCTGCCTGAAAGCAGGTCTCCCTTTGCTTGCGGACCGGAGAGTTTTCTGTTCCATTAGCGGCATGATCCGAGTCACCGTGCAGTTGCGTAGTCATTAGGTCAGAGGCAAACGGCAGGAAGGTGTCGGAGGCCGAGGCGGTGAGGGGGACCATGTCTGCCAGCCAGAGCCTGCCGTGGCATCCCCTACACGGGGATGCTGGTGGCCACCGTGGTCCGCAGGATGCTGAGGCTGTCCACTGGTGACAGTCCCATCATCGAAGGGCATTTGGTGCTGGGAGGAGGGTTCTTGTGTCTGCTCCTTGCGGACACCGAGTGAGAACAGAAGGTAAGGCGAGTTCTGACGGTGACAAACAGGGACAAGAAAAACGTTGTGCCCTGTAGGAGGTAAAGACAGCTTGAAAAATTATGCTTATGGGGGAGGGACGAGGAGGGGAGAGGCATCCATGCTTTATTCCATGTTTATTCATTCATGTTTCTACTAGCCTTTATTATATTTAGACTACTTTAGATGATACTAGAAGTATTTTGCATCTAATGATCTGGGGAGCAGGAGTGCTCTATGCAGCCTTTACAGGTCCTCCTGGCCCAGGTTTCCTTACGCATACTTGACACTTTGGATGCAGGTTACGCTGCGCTGTCATCCGATGGAGGTGTAACCTCAGGTCTTTTTTGTTCAGTTGTTTTACTTTATATTTTCTTTTGCTAGCGGGCTGTAATCAGACAGGAGCAGAGGGAAATCAAACGTCATTAAGCACCGTGAGACCTCCGCCCTTTTTGAGCTGACACAGGACAGTCCTTCATTTCTTTGACAGCTAAATGAGAGAAAACAAAACACAATGTTCCTTGTATTTCTAAACAGTCGCTGGAATGAAAAAGGATCAATTCCGAGATGAAAGAATTAATCTTACAGCTGGTGCTTGAAAAATGGTGGTGTCTGTGTTTGATATTTGGAGAAATACTAAGCTGGGACATTGTTACATTTTCCCTGGTCCGAAGGGAAAATGCTTTGAATGAAGGGAGAGGAAGGAAACAAAGCCGGCAGTCTCAGCAGCTTGCAGCCATGCCAGCTTTGCGCTGTTAGACAGGAATTAGGCGAGTGGGTGTCTCCTGACATGTGAAACCATCGTTTTCCTTTTGCTATATCCTGATGAATTCTGCAGGTTTTTACCCACACAGAACTCTCTCTGGTGTTTACGATGAGAGTTAATTTGGCTGAGGATTGATCAGAAGCCTTAAATGCACAGCTCCCAGCCTTTCCAGTACAAGGGCCAGCTCTGAAACCCTCTCGGTGTCTGACAGTCATTCTGCAGGACCCACTCCCAAATAAAGTATCACCATGCAAGCCAGATCTGTACCTTTTATACTTTATCACATCCTGTCTTACCGTTGCAGTGGGTTTTTCACTCAGGGGCTTTATTCGATGCTGTCTCAGTGTTGTGGCTGTAAGTCATGCTCCGTGCCCCACGCACACTTTCCAGAGTCTGTGCATGCAGTGATGTACCTGAAATGCTGCCTGTCCTGATGCTCGAGTGGTGCAGAGCAGCTCAAGTGGGGCTGCAGTTTCTCATGCAACATCAGCAAGAGGGACGTGCCTTGGCCTTCATTAGGAGCGGTTTTAAACCAGATGCCCCAGGGGGAGTGGATTGCTGGGCTGTTGAGATTTGTCCTCCCATTCAGCTCCCAGTTCTCTTATCTCTCACGTTAGCGCTTTGCTGGCTTTCCCACTTCCTCATAACTCATTCCTGGAAAAGGCAGGGTGGGAATGGAAATACTCCATTAGACTTCTCCCTGCCGATTTACATTTCCACGGTGCATATGGTAACGAGCAAGTCAGGCTCCTCCTGGTTTTAAGCACCACATACAAATCTTCCCTGTTCAATTAGAGCAAACATATACTGCCAGCTACCACCGCCGACTGCCGCATCAGCAAGGACTAAACCTGGCCAGGGGAGCTTCTGATCAGGAAATCAGATTTTCTAGGCTCTGGAAGAGTCAATATGTTGGATCAGATTCATCTGCTGGCTGCCGTGACAGTCCTGGGAGTCCTGGAGCAAGGTAGGAACTGTGGGATGCACATGCCCAAATACTTGCTGGGTCAGTCTACTGTACCTCCACTGATTTCCTTTCACGTCCATATTTCATTTCTGTTGTTGCACTGGCACTTCCCCACTTTTCAGACAGTGGACTGTTATCTGGGTTTTGAAATGCATTCAACAAAACGAGTGCCTGGGAAGCCCTTCCTCTGAACTGAGCTACCTCCTCAGTTCAGAAATTTCTTGGTAGATCTTCTCCTCTACATGAAGAATTCCTTCCTTTGAAAAATGGGTTTACAACAGTTCCTGAGGTTTATGTAGATAGCATACAAAGAGTATGTGGTGCGGAAAGGTGGAAGAATGGGCTGCAGTAGGTCACACGGAACATCTCCCAGCCTTGGTTCCACATTGCATGACAACTTAATTCAGTGTCTGGGTGGCTTATCTGTGGCATCAGTTCCCTCCCTACTCAGCTATCAGGATTTTGAAGGGGAAAAAATTAAAGATTGAAAAAAACTTAAAATTGGCAGTAACAAAGTGCATCTGAACTGTGTAACAATTTCTATAGATAGTAGATGATCTGTTAATTATGCAAAAGAGAAAGCAGATATCCGCTGGTGGTACCTGACTGCATACTCATCGCTTCACTGTTGCACTGGGTCATTCCTTTTCCTTGTCTGAAATGTATCTGAGATTTTCATCCAGCTTCCTCTGCTGTGCAGGGGTGCAAGGTTAGGAGGAGACTGCAGATCTTTTGCCCCATGCTCTGGCAGTCTCCCGGCCCCACCGTGCCCAGCAGCGAACTGACCACTGCTACTTTTCTCTCTTTTGCTGCAGCCTACTTCTTCCTCCAAGTGATCTATGCTAGGAGGGAGTTTGGCATTTCTCCTCCAAAGATCTCAGGCCCACCTGAATTTGAGAGGATCTTTCGAGCACAGTAAGAAACTCCTCTTATACGATGCTTGCCAGATCTCATGTCTAATGGCACTGCCCCTTTGCCATTCATTTCTCGGGACTGTAATTCAGCAGTTACTCACCTCCCCCGGGGTTAAGTTAATGGGCTTAAGAACCAGCATCAGGACTGGGTTGGCCTATGAGTCCTAAACACACCAGCCATTGCTGATAAAAATCACACAGGAATCTCTGCTGTAGAGTGAAGGGCTGCTAAAGACATAGTTGTTGGTGCCTGAGAGTTAGGCTGGTTTTAGCTAAGTGGTGTCAAAGCCTCAGGCAGCTTCAGCCCTCCTCTGAACCCTGCTCGCTGGGAAGGACAAGCTCCCAGAGAGATCTCAGCTGGGGCTGGGAGGGGGAGAGCCACAATCCAGCATCTCTGCCGTGACTTCTGTGCTAGGGCTGCAGTGGGGAGGGAGGCAGAAAGGGAGGAAGCTTCCACTTTTGCTGTAGCTGAGCACTGAAAAAAAACCAACCAGGCAGGAGGAGCAGGATCCCCTCAGCCATCCCCTTCTCGGCTCCTTTGCCAGCCTAGACTCAAGCTCATCCAGCATCTCTTGGTCCTGCTACTTCGTCTTTGGGAGGACAGGGCACGGTGTACAAACAATCCAAACAGCTAAGCACTCCCTCCCACTCCTGCACAAAGCCCAAGCTGCTCTGGCCTTATCTGCTTAAGATGCACTTCATCCTCAACGTGTCTGCAGCCTGCTGGGGCAGACCTTCCTGGGGGCTTTGGGCCTGGGGCTTTTACAGCAAGGTTTAAGCTGCGGCACTCGGGAAGGGGCAGTGGGGGTGGTTCACAGAGCCCTTCTGTGCACGGACTGACCTGGGCATCTTTTACTTAATTTCTTGTGCCCTGGAGACCCAGTTCCTCCCACTGCTTAATTCCTGTGAATAAAGGTCAGACGGGAACTGTGGGGAAAGGTGCAAACCTGGAGGTTTTTATGGTGACATCAGCTCTAAAAAGCAACAGCCTCCAGCCTCTGGAAACTGCTAGGGGAAGCAAAAGGAAGATTTTCCTCCTTTCCCTTGTTTATGACCTTCCTCTTTCCTCCCAGGGTGAACTCCTCTGAATATTTTCCCATTTTTCTGGCACTTCTGTGGCAGGCTGGACTCTTCTTCCATCAAGGTGAGAACAGCCCGTTACCTGATTTGTCACTGGATCTGCTCCTCTGTGTGCTGGCTCAGTCCTCAGGTCCTGCTCACCTTCTGAACAATAAATGAGGCAGTAATTCTGTCTCTGATGGGGGGGTAGAGCCAGAGGACACAGAGTCTCTATTCCTTCATTTTGGGCTACCTGCTTGGCTCAAAGTAGCTCTGAAAAGCCTTTCGCGATGGTCACTGCGATCTCTCTCAACTGCAGGTCTGGCTGCAGCCTTGGGTCTGCTCTATCTCTATGCCCGCTACTGCTACTTTACGGGATACAGGGCATCGTCCTCAGAAAGGTAAACGCCTGTGCCAGCCTGGAGTACATGGTAACCCCTGGGGGTTTGCATTTGGGAACATAATGTGCTTCGGGGAAGCTCAGGACTCGCTCGGTTGCTTCGGGGTCCCTGCATGACTCAGCCTTGCCAAGCTCTCCCCGGGGCATAACGTGGGCATGGGTACAGGGCTGGGGCCAGAGATGCAGATACGGGGCAAGGCTGGAGTGGGTGTGCGTGTGCTCCCTCAAGGCGGGAGCCAGGCACAGGACCCCACGCAGGGGACAGGGGACAGCCAGGGGCTGCCTTTTCACCCCCTTCTCCAGGGAGGAAGGGACGGTTCCTGGGCGAGAGCAGCGATGCTCGCTCTCAGCAGGCTCCCTCTCTCCTGCCAGGCTTGCCCCGATATACTTTAGCACTGGAGTTCTCTGGATTCTCGTCTCAGCGTCAGCCCTGGGCATCTTGCATTTCTTCCTCTCCCACTACGTGGGCCTGAACATCCTCCAGCTTCTCACAGCGTGACCTGCTCCTCTGTCCCTCATCAGCGTCCTCGCCTTCGAGTCCTGCTCCCTCCTGCCCACGGTAACAGGCTGGCTGTACCTAACACAGCACGAGCAACAAATCCACCCTCACCTGAGTTTTTAATACCTCCCTCCCCGCTGCCCAGCACCGGCACAAACTGCTGAGCTCTTCAGGAGGTATTTTTCCCCCACGGCACTCTTTGTGCCAAGTGTTCCATATCTGGCAGCTCCATCATGCCTGATGCAGAAACAACAACGCTCCAAAAAAAGGAGAATTTTAGGAAAACCAAACACATAAAAGCAAACTCATCTCAGCCTGAGCTTCCCCGTGAGCTGTCCCAGTGAATCGCCATGTGTTCCACTTCCTCCAGCGGCTCTGCCTTCAGCCCAGGCACCGAACGCGGGTTCATGCCAGTTTTCCAAGGCCCACACCTAAGAAAGGCATTTGTTTGAAACCAGATGTGGGCTGAGGCATAACAAAAGAGGCGAGGGATAAACAGGAGCAGCCACCAACATGTTGTGCAAAAGTCTGTTAGTGCCCTTGTAATGATTATTAGCCATTGACCGTGGCTAATTGTAAATCAGACTACGCAAACTCATAACCACCACTGCATGTATAACTCTGAATACTGCTGAGCGACAACGTGCACAAATAAAATGGGTGGGTCTGCAACTAGCAGAGAACAAAACCACGAGTGTTTGAGCGCAAGGCGGCTGCCTTGGTTTCCCCGCCGTGCAGTGCAACGCAGCCTGCGAACCTACGTCCCGCGGGAGGAGAGCTCTGAGTAGGGAGAAGCTCATTTTCCGAGGTGCCGAGCTCCCGGATTGGGGGCTGAGCCGCTCAGCACCAAACAGTGGTCCTCACTGAGTGGTTTGGCCGGTGCTCACGTCCCCCTCCGGGCTTGCCCCCCTGCGGCAGGAAGGGCTGGATTTTCACGGGAGCTCAGCGTTCACAATGCTGATGCTTTTGGCCATCGGTCTGCTCATGTTAGTGACACAGCTCAGAAAGCACCAGCAGTGCTCCGTGCCATTGTCACGGGGGGGACTTCATGCCAGACCTGGAGAGCGAAAATAACTGCATTAACATGCTGCCAGTCTAACCACATTTTAAAGCCCACTGTCCTCCCCTCCCTTCCCATATCTAGACTGCAAGAACAAAAGGCAGGGGTTTTTTGGAAGAAGTTATTAATTTTTCACATTGTTTCATTTCCTTCCCTGCATTTTAAATTGGCTTATCCAGTAAAGCCCCCAGTCCATTTCCCTTTTGGGCTCTCCTGCCTTGGAGTCATGCTACCGCATTGAAGTTGGCAAACACTGCAGGGGAAGGCTTAAATACAAACAAAAATAACTGTACAGCACTTGCCTCTGCAAAGTTTTCAGTGCGGCGCGGCCCCATCCTCACAGGAACCCCCGGGTGTCACAGTGAGATAAACAACAACAAAATAACTTTTTTTCTAGCAGCTTTGGTAATACACTTTGTAAAAGGCTGAGCGTCATTTAACCCCTAAGGCTGTGCCTTAGCAAGGCCAGGGAGGACGAGACATGCCACCTGCCCCCAGTGAAAATTTACTTAGCCTTTACATTAACACGTCCCACCATCTCCTGAAGTTAATTCTCAGTCCTCACCTTTTTACCAGTGTAACCAGTCACCTCCCAGAGGGTTAATACAGAAGGACCAGCCCAGCTGCTGGTGCTGGTGCAGGTCCTGGCCCTGTGTCAAAACCCTGCTGCCTCGGGTTAGTCCAAGCTGGTGCTCACCGGTTCTGCCGACACAACCTCCATCTTTTACCCTGCTGTATCGGCCTGGCGCCACTACCCACCTCAGCCCCGCTTGCCTCGGCTCTGTGTGCGACAGGGCTGCAGAATGACTCAGAGGAGGGAAGTTAATTCAGCAGCGAGGCTGTGGCAAGCTGGCTTCTCCCCCTGGATGCACAGAAGACCATTAAAAATCTTGGTGCAGCACAGGCAGGCTCTGGCCCCCGC